GAGAGAGAAAGAGAGAGAGAGAGAGAGAGAGAGAGAGAGAGAGAGAGCACATGTATGGGGGTAGATACCAGTTCAGCACTCTATAACACTGCCTTAGTTCCTTGAGACATGGTGGGTCTCTCACTGAATCTGAGGGTAGGCTGGCGGCCAACAAGACCCAGTGATTCTCCTATCTCTGCCCTCACAAAACTAGAGTTAAAGGCACATACACAGCCACACACAGCTTATTACATGAGTGCTGGGAATTTTAATCAGGTGTGCTCATGCTTGTGTGGGAAGTATTCTTACCCACAGAGCCATACCTCTAACCCCTAATTTACGGAGCTTTTCAAGTCACTTAATAATATCACAACACTTTGTAATGAATTTACATTACTATAGCATACCAAATTAAAATTTTTCTGACTCTTTTCACGAGACATACAACTTTTTTCTTACAACGTCTCTCTAGGAATAATTATATTGCTTATTTTCACCTACCTTTAGCCCTTCCAAAAGTCTGAAACAGGCCCTACTGCTGAAAGCAAAGCACACATCCTATATCTGAAGCCAGGCTGCCTAATCAACTGGGATACAGATACATTTCAAGGACAGGAAAGAAATTACTGATACATTTGGTCAGAGCTGTTCCCCACCAGTGGAATCTTGCTTCCTTCCTGCTCTTTAGCCACTACAAAGAGTATCTTTTTCCAGGAACAAAATTAAGTCAATATATATGCTAAGGATTAAGTAGCTAGTTTGTTATTCTTTATGTCTGACACTCTGAATAACTGCTACTTTCTAACAGTACAGACATAAAATTATATTCTAATTTAGTTTTATCATAGTATCAAGGAAGTAAGAATGATAAATGATAATACTAACCAAGTAAAATATTCCAGTGCTTTTTCTATGTAGTCTACAGCTTTCCCATCCAGAAAATCCACTAAGGCTGCTTTTGCCATCATAAAATAGCATTCACCCAAACCTGTAATCAGGTAAATTAGTACTTGTCATTAAGATATACAAAACAAATACTTAAAATCAACTTCAGAAAAATGTATTGTTGTCCTTTTAAGAAACATTCACAGAAAACAAAACAATATTTACTTTTTAAAAAAGATGTACTATTCTTCTGCATATATGTGTAAGGCTGTGTGACTTATATGCACCATGTGTGGAGGTGTCCGTGAAGGCTGGAGGGTGTCAGATCCCTGGAACTGAATTATAGGCAGCTATGAGTCACCTGGGTGCTGGGAAACCAAGAGAATTGAACCTGGGTTCTCTGAAAGAGCGGCAAGTGTTCTTAACTACTGAGCCATCTCTCCAACTCAAAACAATGCTACTTTATAAAAGTATCTCTAAACATGATCTTGCTACATTTAGAAAAAAATTCAAATGTGAGGGCTCTATTAGAATAAACATGCACCAAAAATTATTAAAAAAAAAACTGCCTGTAAAAAATTTTGCTATCTTTGGGCTAATTATTTTGTCTTAAAACATCAGTTCCAAAACCTAGGCTATGATCTATTACTCTCTATCATGATTTTAACTGTTGTGAATAAGATTTTCTCTTTTTTAAATCAAAATGTGAATAGCAAACTATACAGTAAAATTAAATGAAGTAGTGAATTCCTTAAATACCAGTAAATATTTCATAAAAGTGAGCTCTCCTCTTTAAGAGTTTTATAAATGAAAAAAAAGGGAGGGAAGAAAGGAGGAAAAAAACCAACAATTTCAAGTTCTAAATTATGTTACTCAAAACCAATACTACTAGGAATTTTTAACATCAATTCTTTGTCTGTTTCCTTGCTTCCTTCCTTCCCTCCCTCCTTCCTTCCTTCCTTCCCTCCTTCCTTCCTTCCTTCCCTCCTTCCTTCCTTCCTTCCCTCCTTCCTTCCTTCCTTCCCTCCTTCCTTCCTTCCTCTCTCCATTCCTTTCTTTCTTTTTGGACAGGTAACTCTGGCTGTCCTGGATCAGGCTAGACTCAAATTCACAGAGATCTGCCTGCCTCTACCTCATGAGTGCTGGGATTTTTGGTGCATATCACCATACCGAACCTCAACTGTTTTTGTTTTTGTTTTTGTTTGGGGGGGGGTATAAAAGAAAGTAAGGTGGAATAGAGGGATTTTTTTTTCAATGTATATTTTTTACTGAATTTTTGTGCATTTCATACAATACATCTTAATCATATTTAGACCCCGCTCCCCTATCTACAACCCCCACAGTCTGCCCATAGGATTTCATGCATTCTGTCATATATGTTAAGGCCTACTGAGTCAAGTTTGTGTACCTAGACATCCTTCGGTGTGAGTTCATCCACTGCAGCCTATTCAGGCCACCTAACATCACTACCTTAAAGAAGATCAGCTCTCCCTAACCCAGCAGTGATTAGCTGACAATAATTCCTCAGTCAAGGCAAGGACCTCCTGCCCATTTCCCCAGTTCTATGCTGAGTTTTTGTCTGACTGAGTTTACATGAGTTTTGTGCATGCTGTCACCATTGCTAGGGGGTTTTTTTTAAATGGTAAGACATAATCTTAAAATTTTAGATGATAGATAATGATGTTTTTCTTTATATAACTAAAACCTATTTGTTAAGGACTAGAAATTGATGGAGGAACTGAAATCTACTTAAAAGAGAATTATAAAACAATGTAAACTAAATCTAAAAATAATGTAAATGAGCTTTTCTAACTTATAAAATTAATAATTAAGATGCAAGATATTCTGGGGACACAGAATAATCAAAACAAAGCATTAAGAGAAATTTGAGAGATATGTTTTTGGGTCTAATAGCTACTAATCTATTTGTCTAAATGTTTAATCTCTATCATATTACTATTTATAAGTAGTTAAGGAAAAATTTGGTCTTATTATATTCAAATATAAATAAAGTTATATTATAAGATATTCATATCAAATACTTGTTACGAACCAAGCTTTTTTCAAATTATTTAATACAGTTAGGTAGAAAATTTACTCAAGGATTTTTTTTAATGTATTTTATGTGGATAAGTGTTATGTCTGCATCAATGTAAGTGCACCCATGTCCTGCAGTGCCCACAGAAGCCAGAAGAGGATATTCAATCCGCTGGAACTGGAGAAATGGATGGTTGTTAGCTGCCATGTGGGTGCCAGGATTCAAACCTGGGTCTTCTGCAAGAGCAGCCATCTCTCCAGCCCCTACTTAAGGATTTTATACTTTAGTATTATAAAAAGTAAAAGAAGCCCTCCTTTTCTTGGCAGGGACCAGGCATGCAGTCCCACTCCCCATTCATTATGTGCGGAGGCAGAGGGAAAGGGCTGCGGCCCTCCCTACATCATGTCTTCCTGTCAGCAGGTTCTATTCTCAAACACCAGGACACAGGTAAAAAGAAGAAGAAAAAAAAAAAAAATCAAAGGATCTCTTAAAGAGAAATTACCTTTCAAAGCGGGCACATAACCTTCGTTCCTTTTAATGATCAGCTGGTACTGAGCCACTGCCTCCTTATATTTGCCTAGGATTTGCTGTATTGCTGCAACCTTGAACACACTGTATGTGGATTCCGGGTTCAGCTCACTGGCTTTTGTAAAGGACTTCAAGGCTGTTGTGTAACCTCCTCTGCTCAAGTATGCCTCTCCTAATGACTCCCAACAATTGCAGTCTTTTGGGTCCGCCCTTAATGCTGCCTGCAAACTAAAATTTTAAGAAACAGTGAGGAATTAAAAATAATAAAACTACATTCACATCTGAAAGGAAAATATCAAATAAGTAATTCAACTAAATCACACTTATTCACAAGTCCTTTGATTTGTAAAAGTAATTAATACTTAAAGTAGTTTTCCCTGTTTCATTTACAACTTGAATGCTTTTAATACTAAGAAGTGTATGTTACAGTTTTATAACAAATAAGAATAGAACACTTTTTTGGAAAACTCTTGACCATAATTTCTTCTTCTTGGTTATCTGAAAAAACTCTAATTTTCTATCCTATCAACACAGGTGAACATTACAGTTTGACCCACCAGTTTATAAACTAATCAATCATCCTACAAAATGTCTGAAATATCGGAATGAAGGATGCTTTGTACTTCTGATCAAATTCTGTTTTTATGAAAAATTTCAGAATACCTATATTCCAGAAATTAATATACATCAAACTGACTTTATCTTGACTCATCTATATTTTACCCTGAAATACAGACAAACCAAATAACTGAAATCAGTTTTACATGAGCTTCCAAATGCCCTCCAAGCTGCCAAAAACAATGAATGTTACCAGAACAAAGACCTCAGTTTTTTATGGTTACTGAAATTTCTTTTGAGAACTCACATTATGACACCATCAAAGACTTCACCAAATTGGTTAACTCCTCAACAACAGTACACGACTTAATCCATTTTAAAATTCTATTGCCTTACAATCAATAAGCACAAACCAATCATAACAAGTATTGGTATCTTTTTTCTCAAAAAGCAACCTGGTAAGAGGCCACTTATGGTTAAGTTGGTAAAGGCCCTGTATCACAAGGACTTGGCTTAGCAAAGAAATGTAAGGAACCATTACACTGTTTAAACATAAACATATAAGATGTCTTACTCAGCCACTGCTTGAGAATGTTGACCAGCTTTCAAATAGTGTAATCCTCGCCTAAGCCAGGCCCACTTTGCTGTTCCAGCACTTGCCTTCTGAGTTACTGCTGTTAAGATAGCTAAGGCGGTTTCCTAATGAGAAAATTTTATTAACTTTAGAAACACCAAATATTATGAAAATATAGGACACCTATGCAAAGGATACAAACATACTTTCATTTCCCACTTTTGATTTTTTTAAACTTACAATGGTATACATAAAACTAATTTTAGAAAGTGAAAAGTCAGGGCTGGAGAGCTGGTTCAGTTGGTAAAGGGCCTGTCTCACAAGGACCTGACTTCACATCCCCAGGTCCCCAGAATCCATGTAACAAGCCAGGGGGTAGTGGTGTAATCCTATAACCCCAGCACCGGGGGATTGGGAGGGGCAGACAAATGGACCCCTGCTGGTCACTGGCCAGGTAGTCTATCTCAATATTGCAATGAGCTTCAGGTTCGATGAGAGACCTTGACTCAAAAAAGAAAGGTAGAGAGCAATCAAGGAAAGACACCTGGCATTGACCTTGGGCCTACATACACACACACACACACACACACACACACACACACACACACGTACACAAATACACATGCACACATTCGTATAACAAGCACACACACGTGACAAGTAATTTCTTATCTTCCAGGGAAAAGGAAAACTAGTCTACAAAGAAAAAAAAAAAAACTAATGTTAATGTTCAAGTACACATATTATAACATTTCCATTTACATACTCGGGTTAAAAAACTACGTAGGCAAAAGTGGCCATGAGACATACCGCATCTTCAAGCTCCACACTTATGTCAACTGCTGCAGCTCCAGATTCAGCATCAGTGTCATCTAACTCAAAAGCTTTCCTGTAACATCCACGGGCTCTGCTTTTATCTCCAACAATATCTCTATAATAATGGCCTAAATAGCAGAAAACTTTACCCATATATGTATCCAGTCTTGCAGCCTTTGAAATGAATATTGACAACAGACTATTAAAAGTCCATTTCAATGACTATAAAAGATACAGTACATTGATTAAAAAAAACTCTCTTATCAAAAGTAAAAAATTATGCCA